CCAAGGCTGAGCAGGGACAGGCTCTGGATAAGCACAGAACAGCAGGGAGATGGAGGGCAGGGAGCAGGAACTCCAAACTGCCCGGCTTTCCTGGCCTGATTCTCCAGATAACCAAAGGACACTTTGTGGGCAGTGAAAACACCAAAGGGATCTCTTGAGATCTCAGACACACCCCCTCACTTTTGTAGAATCTTTCTCTGCAACTGCCCCTTCTCTGAAAGGAATTCCTTGATCATCATGCTCCACAATTCCTCTTCACTGCAGGGCATGCACAGCACCCAGCAGTTTTGCCTTTTTTTCCTCTCCTTTCCACTTGGTCCCATTGAAAAGCCCCAAACATTTGGGGCTGGCCAAGGAAGGACGTGGCTGAGGCCATCAGCTCTGAGATGAAGGATTGGGGTGAGTGCTGCTGCTCTGCAGTCTCAGGGAAGCTCAGGAAGGCTCCTCAGACCCTGCTGTGCTCATTTCACAAGTGCAGAATGTCCCAATCCTTTTACCTGCGAGCACCAGGTATAACCAGGTTAGATAAGAGCATTACTACCACGTGTAACCTTTGGACTTTGGCTGCAGGCTCCTGCTTTCCCTCCTGGAGAGAACACACCATATTTCACTGTCTGCTTTATTTCTTTCTCCTTTATTACAGCTGTGCTCAGTAACCCACACAGATTGATTTTCCTGCAGGCACAAACAAGCAGATAGAATCTAGAGGACGTTTAAATAAAGGGCATCATTGTAAATGGTCCTTGAATTAATAAATATATAGAGAGATAAATAAGAAACAGATATAGATATATATATATGGGACACATAGGTCGTACAAACAAATGCTGGCCCATCTGTTCAGTGTTCTCTGTTTATGTGTGCCCTCAGTGCTGGGATATCCTGGAGAGGAAAGGGCTTTTCTGGACACCYTTGTGATCCCAGTTGGGATGCAGGAAATTTGCCACGATATCAAGCAACTGAAGGATAGATCCCAAGATAATAAATCATGCCCAGAAGGAAGAGTTTACCCTAAAAAGAATACCTAAAACGCACAGTCTGCCTTCTTAGCTAAATAAACTGAAGCTGACAGAATGTGCACTTGCACTGTAGCCACCACTAATTACAGAACAGGAAAGAACTCTCAATTTAGAGATGCTGGTGACCTGTAGGCAAAAGTGGTCACTGATTTTTAAAGGACTTTTTAACTTCCYATCTTTCTTCCCCCATCCCATCTTCCTGCCAGCCACTGACCTTCCTCTGATCTGCTGATTGAAGGTTTGGGAGGCTTTCTTGAAGCCTTCCCCTCTCCAGTTCTGTGTTCAGACAGAAGAGCTGTAGCATTCAGGAATATCTGTTCACAATATCAGGAATAACTATTCACAGCAATTTTTCTTGGAGATGGACTCATTGGAGGCGCCGTTCACAGCTCCCAAATTCCTGACTGAGAGATGCAGAAAGCTTTTCCAGAAAGCCGTGGGTCAGGCTTTAGGAGCATCCCTCAGTCACCAGGGAGATTCTGCCCCTCCACCCTGGCCCAGRGAAGCATCACTGCTSTTCCAGCTCTGCCTTTCCTCTGCTSACAGCATCAGATGAGCAGTGATTTTCTGATGTTTGGCCAAGCTGTGAACACTGTCATTCTAGCACATTTTAACAAGTACAGGCAAGTCTGGGCATCAGCTTAAACAGGATATTTCCCAAACTAGAAAGGGCTAATAAAAAGTAATGCGGGAGGGGAAATAAAACCCAAACCCAAAAGCAGCAAATCATATTTACCTAGAAGATTAACGTTTTCTGTTTTGTTGTAGTTTTTATTTTACCCTGATTCTCCTGCCTTCTSATGGACTTTGCCACCTGCTCATGTCCCAGCCCAGCTCTGCTCCCAGGGAACAATCACAGGATTTACAGCCACGAACCAGGGCAGTGTCACCCTCCCTGCAAGGCAGGAAATTATTTATGAACATGGCTAAAGTGCAGCTGCTTGGGGTAACAGATTGTTCAGCTGTTCCTGCTGCAGGGGCCCCACACAACAATGGGTTGGGGTTGGGATGAGCTGTGTGTGGGGACTGCAGACATCTGCTCAAACATTGCTGAGCTCCGAGCCCTCCTTCTGCTGTGGGKTTGTCAGCATGAAATGTGTCCTGGGTTTGG